AAGAGGAAACTTGGTAAGAAAAATACTGAAACTGTCGAATCTTGTGTTATAGTTGATGAGAATGAAGGAAATATTTTCCTTCACTGATGATAGAACAAGGTCTAAAAATGAATGAATTTTAGATTCGAAGTGCTCTTTATCATATGTGTCCCAATAGGGATTTATTTTTCACTTATAAATTTTGTAATGATGGAATTGTTTTGATGAGTAAAAATGTCGTTTGTGATATTGTTGGTAAGGGTATCGTCCATATTAAAATGCATGATAATAGTGTGAGGTCGCTCACTAGGAGTTCAGTAAATCTAACTCCTAGTGCCCTGATTTGAAGGGCAAGCTGCAACAGATAAATGCTAAAGCCATCACTAGTGATCAATTAGACTTTCTCCAAGCTAGTGTGTCAGCTGAAGAGATTAAACATGCTATGTTTACTATGAAGGATGGTAAAGCTCCAAGCCCAAATGGCTTTAGTGCACAAATTTTTCAAAGAAGAATTGGCATGTCATTGGTGATGAAGTAATTCGAGATGTTCAATCTTGTTTTGACAAGAAGTATATGCATTATCCTTTAAATAGTACTATAATTACACTGGTCCCAAAGATGCAGAATACAACACAAATGAGGGATTTCAAGCCTATAGCCTTCTGTTGTTTGCTATGTAAATGCGATTTAGCATTGCTAACTAATAGGTTGAAAGTTTAAATCCTCGAATCATTGGTGAACATCAGAGTGCTTTATAATAGGAAGAAGTATAGCAGATAATACACTAGTAATGTATGAATTGGTGAGAGGGTACTGCAAGAAAGTTGGATTAGCTTGTGCAGTGTTGAAAATAGACCTGATAAAGGCATATGACACATTGTTCGCCATCGCAGGTCGCGGTCTCAGTTGTTTCACATCTGTCGCGGTATATCGGTTGAATATTGGGTGATACACACATTATAGTACATGAAAGTTTGATAAAATTTTGAAAAAATTACTAAAATTAGAAAATACCAAAAAAGACACAACTTAAAATAATATCTGAGTCGACTCCGAATTGACTCGGATATATCGGCCGATATCATGTATCACGGATTCGAATCGGCCAATATCAGCCGAGTCAGAGCGAGTTGTCACAGATATAGTAATATCTGCGATTCGTGGATCAATATCGTATCGGTGCCCTCCGTTCCAGTTATGACTTGGCCGATACGTATCGGTATCGACCGATATGGTGAACCATGACTACACAATCAATTGGGATTTCTTATTTCTTAAAGTGGATACTATGCACTTTCCAGAAAAATTTATCTCTTGGGGTTAGAAATTGTGTATCTGTTGCACATTTCACCATCAACCTCAATGGAGCGTTGGTGGGATATTTTAGAAGTGAGGGGCATTCGGTAAGGGGATCAAATCTCCCCTGATCTTTTTCTTATAGCTATAGAGTTTTTCTCAATGTTATTTATTGATAATATTAAATGCATGGGGTTTGATTTTCACCCAAAGTACAGGGAGCTGAATTTATCCATGCTGCCTTTGCTGATGACCTATTTCTTGTTTCTGCTACAACTAACAGATCGTTTCAGGTCGCAAGACAAGCATTGGATGAGTTTCATCAGATGTCAGGTATTTTGTGGCTGTTGTAACTGAGGAAGTTGGCACTGATCTTTGTAACGTTGTGGGCATGCCTCTGTGCAACCTGCCTGTTAAGTTCCTTGAGCTGCCTCGCATTGCTTCAAGACTTAGCATCAAGGACTGTCAGCCCATCCTCGATATGTTGCAGTGCAAGATTCAAGGTTGGGCCATCCAGAAATTGAGCTATGGAGGAAGATTGCAGCTTGTCGAGTCCATTTTATATGGAGTGCAAACACATTGGTCTAGCACTTTTATACCACCCAAAGCTATTCTAAAAAATGTGGGAAGTCTTATCTCCTCTTTTGTATGGACTAGGGGATTCAAGCATCACTACTTAGCAAAAGTGGGATGGAAAGATGTCTGCCTATCCTTGAAAGACGGTAGGGGACTTGCTCTCTTCAATTTAGAAGATTGGAATAAGTGCCTGGACAAACACCACTGGAGGCTACATAATGGGAACTGGGTGGAAGTGGTGAAACAAAGACAACAGGACCCAGGGCTGAGCAGTCATGTTCCATCAGCAGTTCAGGTAGGCTCACCAAGTCAGGCAATAGAGATGCAGGACCAGGTTAACAAACATGGAAAAGAGGACAGCTATGTTATAAGTCAGCCAGTTATAGCCCCTAAGGCGATGGGTAACAGGCAGGACAAGGAAGCAACTATTATAGCATCTCTCCATAAGATGAACATGGAGGCTGAGACGACAGAGGTAAGGGGACAAAACATGGTCTCAAGTAGGAAGGAGGTTACTGCCAGTACGGAGATGAAGGAACCCTCTCAACAAGAGGGAATAATAGATGAGAAGGATAATATAATGGAAAAGGTAAAAGGTATTGAGAACCAGGGGGTAGGAGGAACCATTGAGGATAATACAAGTGAAATCACCTTACTGGACCTTATGGTTGAGGATAAGAAGAAAGAAGCTGTCACAAGACAGAATAGGAGATTGAAGAAGCAGTTAAGATCCTCGTCGAAGAGAAGAACTCCTTTAAAGGAGATCTGCATCAATATCAAAGACTCAGGAGGTCAGGGAAAAAGGAAATTTCAGTTATGCGATGAGGAAATGGAAGATGCTGAAGGCAGGGAGATAGGGGGAAAAAGAAACAAAGGATGTGTTGAGGTTTGCTATATTGCTCAGGAAAAAGTGGAGGAAGGGACCAGCCTACTCTGGGCCCCCAAACCCCAATGAAAGTTCTGGTGTGGAATTGCCAAGGTGTTGGGAGCACCTTGACAATTCCCCATCTGAGGGAGGTTTCCAACCTCCTCTCCCCTAATATGTTGTTCCTGAGTGAAATGAAAAATAGAGAAAGGTACATGGATAGAGTAAGGGAAAAGTTGAATTTTGAAAATAGTTGTGTAGTAGAGTCAATGAATAGGTCGGGGGGCATGGCATTGATGTGGAAAGATGAAGTAAAAATCATAAAGATACTCAAAACTGCCTTTACTATAGAAGCTCACGTGGAAGATTTTGAGACAAAGACAACATGGTGGTTCGTTGGAATATACGCAAGCTGTGATAATCTGGTTAGGAAAAGTCAATGGAAGGTGATCCAGGATAGGAAAAGGCTGTGGGGAGGGAAATGGATTATAGCAGGAGACTTCAATGATATCCTGTCAAATGAGGAGAAGTGGGGAGGTAGATGGAGGGAGGAGAAGAGTTTTTCTGACTTCAAAAACTTCATAAATGACAACCAAATGGTTGACATTGGTTTTGAGAGGAACCCCTGGACCTGGAGCAACAATTGGGAGGAGATAGGGGAGGTCAGAGAGCGACTGGATAGAGGCTTATATAGCTTAGACTGGTCCTTACTTTGGGAAAAAATTAAAATGCACACATGTGGATACCTTCGCGTCAGATCATAGTATGCTGATGATAGATACAAAGCCAGAGGCTAGGCAAAGGAAAAAAATGTTTTACTTTGACAGGAGATGGCTGAAGAAAGAAGGTGTCCAGGATGTGATCAGAAATGCATGGGAACAAGATTTTGAGGGATCAAGAATGTTCACGGTCAAGTGCAAAATCAGAAATTGCAGGATTGAATTATTAAAGTGGAGGAACAACTCCAATTGTAATGCTAAAAAGAAAATTGATCAGCTCAAAACTCAGCTGGAGAAGCTTCAGTATAACACTCAAGTGGACACTAGAAGAGAGACAGTGGACCTAAAAAATCAATTGAAGGTGGCGTACAAGGAGGAGGAACTGTTCTGGCACCAAAAAGCAAGAATAAACTGGATGAAGGAGGGGGATAAGAACACTAAATTCTTTCATGCTCATGTGAAGGGGAGGAGGAGGAGAAACAGAATGTTGAATCTACAAAGAGAGGATGGTTCCTGGACTGAGAATGAGCAGGAGTTAGGTGAGGAAGTTGCAGGTTTCTACAGACAACTGTTCACTAGCAAGGGGAATGGTAGTACTGAGGACATCCTTAGAGGTATTCCACCCACCATTACAGCGAGCATGAATGATCAACTGACTAGAGGTGTGGATGAAGAAGAAATCAGATCAGCCCTTTTCTCTATGTCTCCTGATACAACACCTGGAATAGATGGTATGTCCCCTATTTTTTTCCAGAAATTCTGGTGTATTATTAAACATGATGTAATCCAGGCTATCCAAAATTTTTTTCATTCCAATTCCTTGCCTAGAGCTCTGAATCATACATTAATCTCCCTTATACCAAAAGTTAAAGATCCAGTAAACCTGAAGCATTATAGGCCTATTAGCTTGTGTAATGTGTTATATAAAGTGATTTCCAAAATACTAGCTAATAGGCTTAAAGGGGTGTTAAATTTCTGCATCAGTAAAACTCAGTCTGTATTCATTCCTGGTAGGCAAATCCTAGACAATGTCATCATAGCCCATGAATACTTGCATTTTCTGAAAAACAAAAGGTATGGGAAGGAGGGATACATGGCTGTTAAGCTAGACATGTCTAAAGCTTACGATAGAGTGGAGTGGCACTTTTTGAGGGATATGATGCAAAAAATGGGCTTTAGCAGCAGATGGATTAGCTGGATCATGAAATGTGTTGAATCTGTCTATTACTCCTTCAATATAAATGGTGAGGTGAAAGAGTTTGTAGTACGAAAAAGAGGAATAAGACAGGGTGACCCCCTCTCTTCATATCTCTTCCTACTGTGCTCAGAAGGATTCTCAAACCTGCTGAAAAGTGCTGAAGAGAACAAGTAGATTACTGGACTCAAAATCAGCAGGAATGGACCTAGACTAACACATGTATTTTTTGCAGATGACTCGTTAATATTTTGTAAGGCAGACACCAAGCATGCTGAGGAGTTAAGGAGGATATATCCTGGAGGCTTATGAGAAGAGCTCTGGACAGTTGATCAACCTAGAGAAGTCTTCTGTCTTCTTCAGCAAAAACATGGAGCATAGCAAAAAACTAGAAGTATGCTGCAGATTGGAAAATATCCAGATGGTCAACCAAGGCAAGTACCTGGGTCTTCCAATGGTGATAACAAGAACGAAGGGCCAAATCTTTGGTTTCATCAGAGACAATATTAAAAAGAATTTAGGAAGCTGGAAGCAGAAGTTGTTAAGTCAAGCAGGGAAGGAGGTCTTATTAAAACCAGTGACTCAAGCAATGCCTACATATGCTATGTCATGCTTCAAATTGCCTCTGAAACTATGCAAGGAACTCAGTGCAATGATGGCAAGGTACTGGTGAGGAGACAATAATGGAAAGGATAAGATGCATTTATGTTCCTGGAAGAGAATTACTCAAGAAAAGAACCAGGGAGGACTTGGATTCAAAGATTTGGTCAACTTCAACCGAGCTTTGCTAGGTAAGCAGATATGGAGATTGCTTGTTAACCCAAATTTGCTTGCCTCCAAGGTTCTGAAAGCCAAATACTATCCTACTGGTTCCATATTCAAGAGCAAGTGCCCTCAGAATGCTTCCTGGATCTGGCAGAGTCTAATGGGAGCTACGCAGCAGGTTGAGGAAGACACCTGGAGGAAAATTGGAAATGGTCTTAGTACTGATATTTGGGAGGATAAGTGGATAGTAGGAAACAAAGATGGAAGACCCTCAACAACTAAACCTCCAAAATGCAAAGTGCAGAAAGTTCAGGACCTAATCACTCATAAGAGATGGAATACAGTGGTAGTGCTTCGAACGTTCAATGGCAGGGATGCAGAAAAGATCTTAAGCATTCCTATCAGCTTAGCAGGAAAGGAGGATAGCAATTTCTGGATACATTCTCCAACGGGGCAATACACAGTGAACACAGGCTACAAGGTACTTATGAAAGAGAAGGAAATCCAGGAAAGGAATGGCTATGATGGGGCAGGTACAAGCCTACACAGTTCATCAAAACAGATGTGGTCTTGCCTATGGAATTTAAACATCAAGCACAAACTAAAGACCTTCATGTGGAAATGCATCAACAATGCTCTCCCAGTCAATGAAGTAATCTTTAGTAGAACGCAAAAAGGAGATCCCATCTGTAAAGTCTGTGAAGAAGGGGTGGAGACTGTGGACCATGCGCTCCTGAACTGCAGACAGGCCAAGCTAGTATGGCATATAGCACCAGTGCAATGGGAGGGTGCTAGGGATAAACAAGGCTGTTTCAAGGACTGGTGGAATGAAATTGCAGGAGCCAGATCTAGACAGGCTGGTGATGAACATCTTGGTCTAACAGTGAATATCTTATGGCAAGTATGGAAAAGCAGGAATGAGTGGGAATTCAACAACAAACAAAGGCATGCTATGACAACAATTCAGAAAGCTCAAGAGGAGTGGTTAGAGTTCTGCGAAGTGTATAAAGACAAAGAGCAGTTGAGCACAGTAGAAACAGCTGCTAACCAGATTCAACGAATAGAAGCGGAGAATGCAGAGGTGATCCAAGTGAAGATTGCAGCTCTAAGAAAACCGAACAGTAAAGAGGTGGGAATAGGGGTGACTGCTATGACAGAAGGAAATGTTGTGGTGGCGGCTTGGGCAATGCATGAAAGAAGCTACAATTGTCCACAATTGGACGAAGCTGAGGCTATCAAGCTAGCTATGAGTAAATTAGCAGTCAAAGGCTGGAGGAAAGTCATCATACAGAGCTGCAACAAGCAACTCATTCAGGAAATCTGTTCCGGAAGAGCTTCCAATATCAAACTGTATACTCTAGTTGATGATATTCTTAGCCTGAAAGCCCTGTTTCACATGTGCTCTTTTTGTGCAATATCTAAAGTTGATAATCATATTAGCATTAGAGTTGGAGATTATGCATTAGGCATTATACATGATGAGGAATGGTTCAATCCTCTGTGCTGTTGAGCACTTTTGTAAAGAAATGAGGGGCCTTTGCCCCAAATGTAAAGTTTAGATGTTGATCAATATATTACTAATATCGTTTCGGAAAAAAAAAGAATAAGTGCCTGGAAGTTACTGTGGAACATTTGTGCTCGAAAAGAGTCATTATGGTTAAAAGGGTACATTCTATTATGCTTAAAGACAGTCTATTGAGGGATTAAGACTCCTAGTGATTGTTCTTAGAGCTGGAGGAAACTGTTGAAGCTTAGAGGAATGGCTCAGCTGCATATTAAGCAAATTATTGGCAATGGTGAGCACTGAAGTTTTTGGTACGACAATTAGCACCCAGTTGGACCTTTATATATGAAGTTTTCTGACCACCCCGTTAAGGAATTGCTGTTTCAATACTCATGATGCAGTCGCAAATTTCATTGATCATGGATATAGTTGTGTTATATGCATATCTCGCGCTTGTCATAGCACATCTGACATTGTATATCTATAGAAATTATATAGTATAGGCTTTCCCTGATGTAATTTAGTTGTTTTTCCACTTACAAATACTAAAAAAAAATTGTGAGATCGATAGGTCGGGTAGTATAGGAGGAGAAAGTGTGAAAACTTCTTAATTTGACATCTCTCACTTATGCTAAAGAGAAAATTGTGTATGAATTTTTTGATATATCAATAAAAAGTTTCATATTGCCTAAAAAAATCTGAATATGTAGCTTGTTCTGTGCGGTTTCATATGAAAAAACCTAGTTGGGAAAGAATAAAAGGAAAACAGAATAAATCTTGAGATAACCCAATTCGGAAACTATTAATAAGAGGAGGAAGACACAAAAAAAATGTAGCATTCATTTTACAGCCCATAGGCGGGTTGGGCTACAAACAAACTTACACCAAGCCTTCAAAGCCCTTGAGCATGAGGAAAAAAAAATAGGTAGGATTCAAATGGGCTTGGATCTTGTGACCATGGGTTCCCAGTGAAAATATGGACCAACATATCATGGCCTTTTCCTTTTATTTTGGTCTATTTTCCACTATTTTTTTTTAAAAATTTTGTTCTACTATTTCTTCATTTTTTTAATCTTAGCTAAGTAACCTTCTATTTTTGAGGAAGCTAATTAATTATTTGGTATGCTTTTAGCTAAGAAAAGTATAAATAACTCATAGTTTTTTATCGTGGTCCGTGCAAAAGCAATAATTCTACCCCTAATCAATGAAATGATTCGTAGTTCAAATATCTACGCAAATACAGAAGTAGCATAATAAAATTCAGACAGTTTAGAGATAACAAAGAAGAAAAAAAATTTAAAAAGGCAGACTAATGGCTCCTCAAAAATGAAAAATACACTTTAGAGGAAAAGGAAATGGGCTGCAATCGTCACCAAAACAATTAGTTCACTAATTTATCTTGAGAAGATTGCAACAAAGGCACGTTTTAATTGCCTTGGCCAAATTTGGTGGTCCTAAATTAGGACTCCTAATGGACAAGAATTCAGAGAAACCAGATCAATTTGCTTCAAATTTCTTGGTTAATAATTAAAATCAAATAGCGACTTATGCCATGCATAGATTCTGATCCTGAAACTTGAATGGCAAGATGGTTGTTAACAGGTGGCAGAGTCTTGATAACCTTATCATCCTCGTCTGCCTTTTGACACCCTTCTTCACGTCTTGGTCTTCGTTGTCTTATGCCTTTAGTAAGAAATCGAGATCTTTTCTTGGCTTGAGAATCGAGTTTGTCTTGTGTCTGCGTGAACGTGTCAAATGCCAAATCGAGTTCAAAATGCAAGGCGTGGAGATAAATTCATTTCGATTAATTTGAAAGCGAAAGCCATTCATTAAATGGCAGGAGGTGATCAGTTGTTTTGGTGAAACAACCTGTGAAAATATGGTGGGAGGGTGAAACAATTTGTTCACAGGTTATAGACCTATATGTCAAGGATGAAGGGCGCACACCCATCTTCTCTCTAACCCTCATAAGCCTGCTTATATTTGTACGATGTTACCAGGGAAAAGGTCGAGAGAGACTCAAAAAATTTCTCCAGGCAACATGTCAAAAGGATTAGTCTCAGATGGTTAATCTTGCGCTTAATTTGTGAATATTTCTCATTTTATTTTGCCAAGATGTGGTGTTAATCATTACATTTTATACATATATCATTTTTGGTGTTATTGCTAGGAATTTATGATGAAATTAGAGTGGAAAGTATATTAAAAATTAAATTTTCAGAAGACTAGACTTTACAAGATGCCACCACATCTTATTTGATGTGAAGTCCAAATTTGGAGGGATTGGAAGCGAACCCCACAGTTTAGGCCACATCTTTTTCTGCTCTCAAGTGAAGCGAGCCCCACAATTTGGAACTTGTGCTTAGGGCTGTCAACGGGCCGGGTCCGGGCCGGAATTCATTATTCCGGACCCGGACCCGAATTACTGTGCCGGATCCGGATCCGACCCGTTTACCCGACGGGTCTTTTATTCTATGTTCCGGATCCGGATCCGGCGGGTCCCGGATCCGGATCCGGGTCTATCCGAACAAATTTACCAAAATTTATAATTTCTAATAAAAATGAGAAAAAAATATATTTGTAAACTAATTTCTAACTAATGCAAAGAAAAAACCAAATAAGAAAAGAAATCAAATTAACTTTATTAAAATATATCACCCTAATCAAATTATATTTATAAATATATATATTTTAAATTATTAATTCATTTATATCCGGATCCGGGTCTAATACGGGTCGGAATACTATATTCCGTATCCGACCCGTTTTTTTGTTTGACAAAACGGATCCGGATCCGGATCCGGGAAACGGAATTAAATCCCTACCCATACCCACAATAATTTCACGGATCCGGTCCGGATCCGGGTCTAGACCCGACCCGTTGACAGGCCTACTTGTGCTGATTGATGGAAACGCTTCTCACCACCAGTTTTGGTGCGTGCAGGAGGTTAAGGGTTCAATTTTTACCTCCCATCAATTTGTCATTATATATGGTGGTCTTAATTGGCTATCTTCGATGAAGTTATTACTCACATCGAATTCCCTTTTTCCTTTCCTTAGATTAGACTAGATTATGTTATAAGATTTCTACCGTTGTGACAAAATAAATCTTTATTTGCTTATAAAGTTGTTGATTATGTTAGGAACTATATTTTTTTGTCATATTTATTAGTTTTAGTATTTGTCAGAGTTACATTAGCAAAAGGAATCATTTTCCTTTAGTGGCAGGAAACGTTGGTGCTATTTAGATTAGTAGTTATGACTTCTGGAGAACGGTAAGTGCTATTGAGACTAGTCGTTATGACTTTGAAGAACGGTAGTTTTTTTTTTTTTTAAATTTGGACGGAAGGAACCAGAAGCAAGGGACCTCCTCTCTTTTGCTTTCCTGCCGTTTCTCTCTTTTC